TTTCTGGGATGTAATCTATTGAACTAGCACTTTTAAAAGTTTGGGCTGTAGGGAATGTTATATCAAACATTTTCCTATCTCTGACTATCACCTCGTGAAGGTTAGGGATCCTGACGGAGTGAAATGGCTGCATCACTGTGTGGATCAGGTGTGCTTTCATCCCCTGCGGAAAAAGAAACCATTCATCGTGGAGCAAAGACTTCCACCATGAGACAACGCTGAGTAGGAGAGCTGGAGTCAGACCTGCAGGATGCTATAGGAACAGGTGAAGGAGCAAGCTTTTTGCTTCAGAAAGAAGTAAAGGAATAAGCTACAACAGCTAAGACGTGCTGCTTCGACTGGGCCAGGAAGTTCAAACATAAGAAGGAAGGGTAATTAATTTCTATATCAGAGCTCTGAGAGTTTACAATAAACTCTCAGATGGCCAGAAATAAAAGCTTGTAATGAATTCTTCAATTCTGAAAGAAGGTATCATTGAGCATAATACCAGAAAGAGCAGTCTGATGGAAACGAGCAGTGCTGCATGTTTTTCTGGCCGAGAGAACGGTGTGCAGTATGTCAGGGCTTGGCGTGTGGCAGAAGGTCAGAGCTGATTCTGAGAACCCAGCAACAATAGAGTCATCATGGACACAGGTGCTTCCGGGACTGATCTTGCAATTTGGCTGTTTCCAATTAAATGTGAAGCAGCTGTGGCCCTTTATCTGCTCAAGTCACTGGAATCCATCTGAGGGGAAACTTTCTCCTGTATCCTCCTCTCTCCCCACTCCAAGCATGCAGCTCTGCTTTCTGAAGACAGAGAGGGGCAAGGACAGCCAGTTGGCAGAAACTCCACAAAAAAAAAAAAAGTTGCCTTTCTTATCTCAAGGCAAAGCAATGAGATACTGATTCAGCCATTCAGTTTCCAATGCCTTTATTTGGGGACAAGGAGAGCAGCCAGCAAAATAAGAAGCAAATATGAACGCTGTTGAAGGTTGTCAGGCAAACAGACTAGGGACACTTTCCCTCAGGCAACAAAATAAACAAATGAAGCCAACATGAAGTTCTCAAGTGTTTATGGCCTTGTTCTGCATCCTGAGTATAACAAGGTTTATTTTACAGAAAGGGATCGAGCTTTAAAGAGGGTATTTTCAAAACTCAGCTGGTGTGATTCTAGAAGAGGCTCAGGAAGGTCAACACTGGGCCACCAGGCAGATCAATGGGAGCTAGGGGATTTCAGAAATCCAGTCAGTGAGAGCTCCCAAGTAGCTCCACACCATCTAAATATACTTTACATGAACTTTTTTTTGCCAGTTCATTGATTCTAGAGCCATCAAACCCCTCCATGTCTTGGCTATATCTTCTAGCCTGCCAAGGTCTCACTTTACTTTTCCCCAATACCTTAAGAAAGGGAGAACTTGGCTCAGATTTGTGCTTGTCACTAGACAACAGAAATGTGAGACTCTAGGCATTAATTTTGGTCGGCTTAAAGAGCAGCCATTTCACAGCCCATGCTTAGCATTTTGGACAGAGGAAGCCAACAGTCTTCTGGCTTTACCCAACCTGTATGTAACTGAAAGCATAAACAGTTTTGGTCTTTGTCCTGTTTCACTCTTCCCAAGGCTTTTCTGATACACAGGAACAATACAAGTTATTTTCTAAAAAGGGATTATCTTGTCCTTTCTGAAACTGAAATGGGTGTCAGAGCTGAAATGTTGTATCAGACTACTCCATCTATTTATGGTACCACTGCTTCATTATTATTGAACAATAACGATCAGACTACTCATCATTTCCAAAATAATAATAATCATACTGTTCTAGGAACAGAGATATTAAAGAAAAAGAGTACTTGCTTTTTTGGCAAGGCAGTACAGTATTAGTAGTAAGTAGGATGCAGCACGAGTGTTTTCCTAAGGTTAGTTTCATTGTTTCAAATAATGTGCTTCTGACTTAACCTGAGGAAGACTGTCCTGCAAATTACTGTCAAGAAATCATTGATATTCAGCCAAAACCATCCTCAATTTCTATATGATATACCTCCAAATGTTCCTATGTGCCAGCTCAAGTTGTCCCTCTTTTTCCTTCTGTGTACAATCCATCCACAACAATCCTTTTTTGAATTCCCTTGGCCAAAACTTAAGCATGCAGCTGCTTCAGCTTTTTCCAACCCTTGCATTTTTTCCATATGCTGTCCACCCCCACCAATCTCTACATTAGAGTCCAGCTGATCTTCCCAGAACGCTATCCAGTTTTTCAATTGTCAGTGCCAGAATGCAATGCAGTGGGCTTCACTCCCTGATACAACTTATTTGGAAGTTAAGCAGAAATGTCTCATTTGGGTTTCAGAAGAGAACAGAATCACCTCTTATCTAATGTATGGCTCCTCTAGAATCAAGATGAAAACACCTGCATCTCTATAAGCCATAAAACAATTTCTGCTTGCAAGCAGCTCAAAATTTGTTGAGCTTCTACTTGTTCATTCTATGTATACATGTGGTTGGAATAGCCACTATCACAAAATGTTTCCTCTTCTGGGCCTGTTTTCAAATGTTTTAATTTCATCTCTTAAAAAGGAAAGACAACAACAAAAAAAGAAGGGTAGATAAAAATGTAAGGTTCCTTAAGACTCTGAATTACAGCAACATAACCCCAACATCACAACAATTAACTGGCCCTGCTTTCTGAATATGCCATGGACTTTTTTCATAACTGTGTTTGTTCAGCTTGCCCAGAAATCATAAAATACAAGCTATTCTAAAAAAGAGAAAAAAAATGGTTTGCAGCAGCCTCCTCATTTCTAAGGGAAGCCCCAAGCACTTCTGATGGCTACAGCCCCAGCTGTAGGACAATGAAAACACAGTCCTTGATGTGCAGGTTTGGGGGTTTCTTTTTTTTTCTAAAGATAGCAAGCTGTTTCCTGCGAATATATTTAAATTATCTTCTTCTTTTTTTTTTTTTTAATCTTCTACTGTTTCTGCACTTTGAGTAACACAAGTTAGCGGCAACCCTGGATTTCTTTACCATGCCATTTATTTTTCTTTCTGTATTCTCATCTAAGACTGGCTGATCTCCCTGGATCATCAGACCACAGGAAAACATACAGAGCATCTAATCTTTATGGAGTACAACCATATGCTCTCTCTCAACTCAATCCAGAACTCACATACAACAGTATACCTTTTAATAAAGTTTTTTTTATGTTTGGTGTTCGGAACAGACCCCACTGGAGTTAGGGTACTAGTCCAGACAAAGGGACTAATCTGCCTAATGCTCTGGTCTGGAGATGGGAACAGAAGCTACCAAGTGTAGGATAATTCAGCTGAGGACATATGCAGTGTTCTAGGCAGCAGTCCAAGTCCACTTGCTTTCAAGTACACTTCCCCCAGGGACTGACAATTTTAGAGAAGATGTCATGAACAAGAGACACTGCTGCCAAGGTAGGGGAATGCATACACAGAGGTGGCCCATATTGCAAATAAGTCAACATTAAGCAGTGGCTTTGTTTCAAGTTTCCTGCCCCATCACATTATTTCAAGTCTGTGATGATGTGTATAGACATATCCCAAGACCACAAAGAGCAGAGACTATTTCTGGACATCTCTCACTACTGTACTTTTCTTTCTTCTCAAGGGCTTGCAAACAGTCAATAAATTAATTATTTCACAATTTTCAGTTGAAATACCTCAGCTGTTTTGGTATAGTTTGCTTGGTTTTTCTATTTTGCTGTATTTTCAGACACAAGCATTTTTGTTGATTTTAGGCAAAATTTCCAGCTCCAGTCAGTTACAGTGTTTACCACTCTTCCCTGTGCCATGTTGACTTTTCTCCCTCTGCCAAAGTGCTTCTTAAACCTCCTCTGAATATATGCTCTTCCTTGTGTTTGATAGCTTTTTCTTCCTCTTTCCCCCATTATTATTTAAGACTGTGCTTTTTATTGCTCAGCATATTCCAAGAAGCATTTAGGATAAATACTGTGTCAAAGACACTTATGCACAGTTGAGCCATACTGTATTCTATATGAATCATTGCGGATGTTTCACAAACAAGGTTAGATCAGCCAGATTTTCCAATTATATTAAACATAGCTTTTTCAGACATGTTCTACTAGCCCTGCGATTAATCCTCCATATTGAAACTCACCTCATATTTGGACCATGTCACATCTGCCCACCAGGGACAGGAGCATGCTGCTAACACTTCCTCCTAATGAGGATAACAATCCTATGACAAAAAAATCTTGGCAAATTTTTATCTGCAGGATGGAGGGGAAAGGCTAACTTTGCAAAGTTAGATGGTCTCTCACCATCCCTCCCAGTTGTATTGTCTATGATATCTTTAGTCAGAGACCTCATCTAAATGGCTAGGGAAGAGAAAAGTCTACGGGAGGAAGGAAGTCTGTTTCACCAACTGAGGTCAATTTTGTGCCATATTTTATCTTATATTAATGAAAATTGCCAAGAGTCTGGTAATCAATCCTTCTTGCCTGCTTTACTTGGTCAGATAGATGGAGAAGCTCAGGGAATATCGAATCGCTTTTTACCGATCCATCACACTTTCCAAGGTGTGTCTGCTACATTAAATCTGGTCTTTTATTCCATCTGAAGAAGAGTAGCCTGACAGAGGGGCCTGAAAAATGCAGTTGGTGGCAATCTACTGCCCTGCAATGGAGAACCATCTAAAACTCCATGGAGAGAAAAAGATAAAACAGCTATGGGGGAAAATAAGCTGAATGAGATGTTTCTTGAAAACAGGAAGAAACCATGGCACTTCTGATCTGGTATAGTGAAGCAGCTGTAATGAATAATGTCCCCAGGTGAAAAAAAGGGCCACTGTGGCTCCGTATGTTTCCAAACTTACACAATAGATGCTTTACAATGCACTTTTTGACTGGAACTTGGGTGGGAAAGGGAGGTTTCCTCATCCCCTCACCCACCTCCTATACTAATGCAATAATCTCAGAAAAAAATGAGAAAAAAAGAAAAGGAGAAAAAGTGATTAATAATCTGTGGGCAGCTGCTTACTTTCCAATTGGCTGTCCAGGAGGGGTGTGCTCCACTTCAAATCCTGCTTGTCTCAGTACATCAATCACAGTGTTGTTACCCAGGAAGTGACCTAAAATACAGGTAGAAAATAGCACTGTCAATCAAAATGCTCCTCTCACTCACTTGAGTTTCTCCTGTTGGATCAACAGCTTTGGGAGGCAATGTTATGAGAAGCTAGAGCAGCTCTAAAAGCAAGAAAAGCACGTTATGCAATTTGTTGTATATCAGACTCCGCTCTTCACCACGTAGCCCACTGCAGCCTTTGGCAACAGCCAGAGGAAGAGACAGCGTACAGCCCGATACCATCTTCTTCCACCTTATTTACCTCTCCCTCCCTTCACACGGCCAAGGAACTGAGGGGATAAAAGGAAACCTAGATGGACTGCTAGTCTCGTCTTCCACTGTGGCCATTTTTTAGTATGTGTATGAATTAAATAAACTTCTAACATGGGTATCAGAATGACCCTACAGTGGCAAAAAGAAGGGCTTTGACTAATGAATTGGAACAATTTGCAACCCCAGATGTCCACTCTGCTCATTATTGTTCATGGACATCTGCTTATGAAGAAGCTCTGAAGCTGCTGCACTGCACGCTCAGTGCTTATTACCTAAACCAGCAGTGATTCAGGAATTTCTTCGTCAACTGCTCAGCCACCTGCACATCAGGGTTGGGAGGAGCTGGGACGGTAACCTTATCTCTCCAAAAACATGAAGATTACTCCTGTAAATCAGAGCTCTCTGCTAGAAGCATAAAGGTCACGTTCCTATTCATAGAAGTAACAAAGAGCCCAATAAGTACTGCAGCATGTATGGGCTTTGAAAGAGTTTACTCAAGGGAGTCCTATATACTTGAGATCTGAACCAAATCCCTCTGGAGTCAATGGGAGCCCTCAAAGGGCTTTGGCTACAGACTCAATAAAGCAGTGTAATCCCTCCAAAGCTTTCAACTTATTGTCAGAGTCCCACATTGTTTTCAGGATGGGTTAGATGTATAAAGTAAGGAGGCAAGAAGTCCACTAACAGGTTTATTAAAATCCATGTAGGCCAGTAACCTGTCTCTAACTGTAGTCCGTGGTGAATGTTAAAGATATATAAATATATATATTTAGTGACACTAGAGAAAGGACAGAACAACCCTCCTCCATTATGTCCATTAGTTTCCAGCTCTGCACGGCTGGGTGACCCCCATTTACACTCAGGTCATTGCATCTCACTGTCAGCTCTGAATAGACCAATTCACCACCAATGTGCTCAAGCCTCTGTCTCCGTGTACTTTTTGCCCCGTGACATCTTGTAGCAGGGAGTTCCACCACGTGCCATGTGTAAAAACGCACTCCTCTGGTTTGTTGCTGCTTGGAGAGTCTGTGCTTGCCTTAAGCACAGTGTAAGCATTTGCAGGAGATGTTTGTAACTGCCTGGCTCCACAGCAGAGCCAAATGCTTTGCATAGAAAAAACAAGGCAGGCAGGACATGCCCAAGTCTCTCTCCATGCATGTCACTGTGTAAGGAGCTGGCATATCCATCAGCAGAGTCACCCCTAGGACACCTCACCCACACTGTACAAAGTTGCTATGAATTTGAGAGTAATTCAGTCCCTAGTATTTGCTAAGCCTGCATCCCTCTGCTCACGCTGCCAATAAGGGTGCTAATTCCCATCAGTTGTGGGAATGATGTAGTCGTATGGCTTTTAGTGCAACTTGCAAGCACTGGTAAGAGCTTTTAGCCAAAAGACATTTCTTTAAATGATTAAATGTACATTTGCAGAGCCCTAGTGTGTTCCAGGATTCCTCTACTTCCTTTTAAGAAAAATCAAAATTTGATTTTCTCCTGACTTACTTATAACAAAAGCCAAAGGAGCAGAAAGCACTGCTAAAAATGAGTTACACACCCTCAGAGATTCAAAAAATGAGACATTTGTGAGTGATTAACTGGATTTGATCATATCCTGTTTTTTTATGCAGTGGCCAAGGCAAACAATGGTCCGCATTCTGTCACTGGCAAAGTGACACTGAGGAACCAAAGTCAAAAGTGTCAAAGTCAGAGATGTTTCTGAGTCCATGGTACAATGCTCCTCTTTCCC